TTTGGAAACTAAAAAATATAAAAGTTGATGATTGACATTTAATCTACAATTTTAGTCTCTAAATTTGATCTCCTTAGACCATCTCCAAAGGAGATATCAAATTTTGAACATAAAATTTAAATTTTGACAGCTTATGTGGCACTTTGACATCTTTTAAAGTTTTGTTCTCCAACATATGTCAAATTAAATTATTATTTTATTATTTTATAAAATAAATTATTAAACTAATTAAAATTTAATAAATGACATTTAAAGTTTAATCAGTAATTTGTTCACCTTCCTTGAATGAAAAGAAGAAAAAAGTAGGATAATTGCATCGGTCAACTCAACATTAATTATAATAAATGATTAAACTAATTAAAATTTAATAAAATACATTTAATAATTAATAAAAAAAACATTTGAAGCTGCTATCAAATTTGATAGCAACCTCTTTTACTGCCAATCCATGTCATCGCCACATAAGATTTGACACTTTACAATGGCAGAGCTAGGAAATTTTCACCGGGTGGGCTACCTTAAAGATTTAAATCTTTATAAACAAAGAAACTTAATACTGTATTTTTCAAAATATGCTCTACCTTAAGAAAATTTCATAAGGTGAGCTGAGAATTTTCGTTATTAAATAAATGTGTTAAAATTCAAACAAGTCCAAACTTGTGCATGTAAAAGAAGCAATGAGAAAAAAGATGTAACAAAAAGATATGATTTGTGAACTGTATTACATAATTTTATATGGTTAAACTAAGAGAATTAAAATTAGTGACTAAATATATAATGGGCTACATTCGAAAATCAATAAAAATTACATGTAAAATATTAATTTTTTACGGAAAACTACCTGGGCTATAGCCTAGGGTAGCCCTTAACATGGCTACGCCATTGACACTTCGGTTGAAGAATATTAGTGTAATTTTTTTTATTGTTATAATTAATGTGTACATTTTGACATCTCATTTAAAGATATTCTTAGTATTACTATTTCCATATATACTGGATCAATTCGCGAGCTGTGAAGATTAGTTGGAGAAATATTGTTGAGGTTATCAAAAGACGTGCCTTGAGGCTTTTGGAATGTACTGGCATTGAGTTTTACCATTCTGCTTTTTACGCCAGATAAAAGTAGAAAGTACTCTCTTTTTTTTTATGATGCTAACCAAACGCTGCCTTATTCTTTTCTTAGAAAAGGAAGAGAGAAAAATGTTGAGGAAACGTTTTCAGAAGTGAGACTTTCGTGAACTCTCAGTTATCTCATATTTTTTACATATTGTTTTATAATGCTTTCATGAAAAATAACATTAAATAATGAGATGACAAAGATTATATGATAAGGATAATACTAGGGAAACCAAATTTTATAGACTAAATGATGTGATTGTTGATGATTGAATTATTAATTAAGTATCGATTTATGTGGTTATTTATTATTGATAACACATCATTTGATTTAAAATTTGATTTTCCTAACATTATCCATATGATAAATACCTCTTCGAGTGAGTCAATCCAGTATTTCTCTAGAAGAAAAGATCCATGCCGGACAGGTAGTATAGTAAAGTTTTGACGATGCAGAGGACATATTAATCCATGGGATAATATTATTTAAAATAATTCATTCTGTGAATACCTTTAAAGAAAACAGATTCATTTACGTGAAATACTGACATTCTAACATATGATTGGCTTTGAAATTTGAAATGAACAATTGGGAGATGAAATCAAATTAATTAAATAAAAAATTATAATTAACCCTTGAAGTGATGAAAACGCAGAAGCATGCTTTGAAGTTAATGATGAGGACCATGGGGGCTCGGGGTGCACAAAGGAATGAAAGCAAATGGGGGACAGAGATCGACGTGTTAATCTCACAACTCTGTTTGAAATCCAAAACTCCAAACACCAGGCCTTCACTGCACGCACTGCAATGGAGGTTTTTGTTTTCTAAGAGCATGAAGCTCTTGGGACTTTCCACTTGCTATTATATTATCATCAGTTTTAACTCTTTCTCCATGCGTCTACTTTCGTCTCATCTCTCACAAGAAGCAACAACCACCCATTTTTTCTTGAACTTGAATCACTTGGGATTTCTTAAACTAATTCATCGTTCTTCACTCCCAAAATTGCGTGCTCTATTCAATACATTAACAATTGGTGTCACTATCTCTCCACCAATTTATCTCTTGCGTTGAATGGATCAAGGATAAAGATTAGGCGTAAACATCGAAACTAGCTTTCGACAAGCCTACAATTCAAAAAAAAATTTGTAGATGATAGTCAAGTTTGAAGTCCCTATTGGTGGTTTAGGGTTTGCTTTTGTAAAGAAATAAAGAGAAATACTAATTAAGGAGACTCTCTTAAAGTAAGAATCTGCATGGACTCTATGTCATCTCATAGTTTAACATTAATTTTCATACCAACATTATAAAATATTGTGTTAAAAATATGAGGTGGCAGAGAATTCATGAAGAGTCTCACTTTTGAGAGAATGTCCTTAACATTTTTCAAAAATAAAGGGGAGACGAAAGAGTTAGTTTTTCTCCTCCGACTTATTGTTTTTGTTGTTATATTGAACTTAGTGTGTTTTTCGTTTTATAGACAGTTTCCATGTAATGTTAAAGTTTTGTTCAATAAATTATTTCTGCTCATACAAAAAAATGAAAGAATTGACCAAATTTGTGTATTTCTGGAAAATTAAGAAGAGATCGAGTAATGTTTTTGGCTTCCTATGCAAATCTCATCTTGGTTCCAAATCTTTTTGTGATCAAACCAAGAAATACACTCGGCGTAGAGGGACAAGAGAGTTTGCGAAAGATCATGCAGGTTTCTCTCCTTTTCAGTCATGCACCTTTTTTTCTTCTTTCATCAAAGAAATGATTAGTCATGCACGGTTAACTTAATCTTTTTTCACATGTTACATAGGAATTAGGTTAGTTGGTCATGATAGTGTGCTTCTTTGTTATTATTTTAAACTTTGAATCTGCTTTCTCATGGATAAAACTAGACTATTCCTTCATCAAAACATTTTTTTGGTAGCGGCATTCACACACCCGGTTTATATCTCACACACCCCTCTCAATTTTCGATCGTCAAGTAATGGACAAAAATTAACAAGGGTGTGTGGAAGGTAAAAGGGGTGTGTGAATATCACTCTTTTTTTTTTCTTTTTTTTTTAACAAGAGTAAATCAAGGAATAATTAAGGAGACTGGTTAAGCATTTGCCATCCAAATGGTGAATGAAATAACGAGGCAACAATCATCAAAACTTGAATAATGAATAAATGTTAATGCAGATAACATAGTGATTAGTAAGCAGAAGGAGTGGTCTAATTAGGATGCCGCATGTTATTAGTTGGAAACTTGGGAAAGATGGCAGACAGAAGCACAAGCTTAAAGCCTTAATTAAGTGCATAAACAAATGTGATTACGTGCAATGGTTAAATGGAGTCCTCGTGAAAGTTTAAGAAAACCATTTTTGTGAGTGAAGGGCAATATTTAAGAGATAAAGTCACATAATAAAGCTCCTTTCGTGCAAGGCTGCAAAGCCAAAGAAGAAAATATTTAAAGAAATGATGGTATAGATCCTTATCGATGGTGGACACTTCCATTTTACCAAAGAGAAAAAAGATGGTGGATACATTTCTAATTAAGCGGCTTTAATTTGTTGGAAATTGGGACATACATGTTATGTGGATTCACATTAAACTGGTGGACGGCAAAAATTGACTTTGGCTTAAGCTTTTAGGGTACTTAGAGGGAGAAAAGGAAGATTAAGTTAGGAAAATGCATACGTCGATCATCATTACATACTTTTTTTTAAATTTTAATGGATGAAAAAGCCTTAAACACAGGCATGTGTTTCAAAAAAGTCTCTGAAAAAATGGGCATTTGTCCTTCAATTAATTACAAAGGAAAAGGGTATAGAAATTAGTTTTTTCAGTGATAGAATAATATATATGTTTGGTATATATATAAATAAGGCCTCATAATTAGGGAAAGCAGGCATATATCTCTATCTTTTGGACTAGTGGATAAATCATATCAACTAACGCAGTGTTTTGTGCTTTAATTGTTTGTCTATTAAGTGATCTTTTCTAGGCTAGGGTACATGGTTTACAACAATTGCTAGTGTCCAACCAATGTGTTCTAATTTGTAAAAGCTCGAAGGATTTTTACTGTTTGTCAGTGCTAGTCGATCTGGATCAAGTAGTTAATTTGGTCCTTCGAGCTTTTGGAGTGGATTGCTATTAATTAATCCTATCTCGTTGCTGCTCTTGCTATGGCGGTGGTCTCCTGCGGGGTTCCTCATGGCGCGTATTAGGGTTAGGGTTTGGCTTTGTGTTTATGTTGTTTGGTTCGACGGCCTTTCTGATAATGCTTTATATGGTATCATGGTTAGTTATTAATAAAGCATTTCATTTCCTTTTTCCACCAAGGATATGAAAAGATACGTCTGCAACCATTTTGTTCATTGAATTTGCTGTGTGTAGCCATTGCATGCTACGTACGTACCTGCATGCATGCGATGAGCTCCATTTCTCCACGCTTAAAACTTCAATGACAGTATAAAATATTTAGAAAAGTAGATTTTAATCCTTAAATAAGATGAAGTTTAGAAAAATGTCTTATACAAGATTAAAAATTGATTTTAGTCCCTAGACTCTATTTGATGCCAGCATTTTAAATGTCTCTCTTTTTTATTTATAATTTTATGGTGTTCATAAATTAAATTTTATGAAAATATTATAAATTCGAATTATCATTATGGTAAGTATCTTATATAAGAAAATATTTTTGCAAAGATTTTTCAGGACATATTTATGCGCCACTAATTCATTACAATATATTTAGGTACGAACATTTCAATACACTAGGTTAGTATTGTGACATCCCGTCCCGGAAATATCGAAACGCACGTGTGAATTTATGACTTTGCCCCTAGTTCGTTTTTGTCACGTTGTGGATTGTTTTGTGTGGTGTGGCATGTGTTGGGCCACACACACACATACACACACACTCTCAGACACTGTCACCCTTTCTTTCCCTCTGTCTCTTCCCTGTCTCTCTCTCTCTCCCCCGAGCTCCATTCCTCCTTCTTCCCTCTGTAAACGTACGGACAAACCCACAACCCACCAAATCCTCACAGATCGTAGAAACCAACTACACCATTGAACTCGTGAGGTCGAGGCGAGCACAGCCATACCCTTTACAGGTGAGAAATCCTTTGTTTTCACGTCGTTTCGAAAATGGCCGATTTGAGTACTATTCATGCAAAGGTTATTCATTGAGTTTTTGGGATTTCTAAGCTCGTAGGCAGCTTGGTGGTGCCACGAGGAGACTCGGAGTACTTTGTTGGACGATTTTGGACGTCGGGATCACCGTGGTCGAAGTTGGTCGAGTTTTGGATTGTGAGACAGGTATGATCGCGTAATTTTTAGGCTTTAAAAGTGGTCTAACGTGATTCTACTAGTCTAGGGCTTTAATTTGGTTCAAGAATCATGGTAAATGGTTGAAAATCGAGTGAGAAAACACGGTTTTAAGTTTCCCCAGTTTTCCGGTGATCGGAGTCCGGCGAGAGTAGGTCGGAGAAGAAACAGAAATATTCCGTTAAGTTTAATGGAATATTCCTAACGGCAGTAACGGTTTCCAGTTAGGTTTAACGGAATATTCCGTCAGTTTAACGGAATATTCCTGACGGCGTCTATTGACACCGTCAGTGTGCCTGGCACGTGGCCGCGCGTGGGGGCGCGTGGGTTCGTGTCTGTGCTGGCGCGTGGGGGCGCGTGCGGGGTCCAAAAATTATTTTAAAAATATGGTTGTGATCGTGAGGTTGTGTAGATCACGTTGGTATATTCATTTGTCCATTTTGAGCAATGTATGAGAAGTTATTTTGAACGGACGGTTATGTGCTTTAAAGTTAACGTTTTTATAGTTAATTCGCATATAGGTGGCACGTATCCCGAGGACGAGCGTGCACATTCGAGGCAGGGGGGCTACGACCCTTCCACATACCAGTGAGTGGGCTTTTGTTTTCCGTATATACCTATATACATGTTATTTCCCAGAAATTAGTATAAATGCTTCGTTTTACGCCATTATTTTTATATGATTGATGGTTATGCATGAGTAGTGGCATATACGGTTAAGTACATATCCATTTATGATTGCATTATGTATGTTGGTGCTGTGGAGGCGTAGGTAAGTAGCCAGGTAAGCATTATTTAACGATTGCATTAAATAACGGTTAGAGATGCTTAGAGAGCTCATAACCTGCACCCCCGGTGTTAGTGCTCCCGCCCTGAGTAGGGCACAGTCCTTCACGTGTCGTTCACCTCCCGCACCATCCGCTCAGCTTGGATCCAAGTTAGGTGCACAGTCCTGTCGTACAGACCACTATAGGTGGTTCCGACTCGTAGGTGACCCGCGATTATTCGCACAGCCTTCACGTGATCGTAGCACTAGAGCGTTCATATGTATTACACCCAGGCTTGTCGTACAGACCACTATAGGTGGTTCCGACTCATGGGCAGGTTTAGTGATTGAGTTGTGATTTGGGCTCTAGATTCAGCCGTACAGGTCACTTAGGGGACTCCGGCTGCCAGATTATTATAATATTGATGTGATATACATACCTGAGCACTTGCATGTTATTATGAGGCTTTGAGCATGTTGGCATACCCTTGAGCATACTTGGCATATTTATACCTACGTATATATGTTTATTTTCTGGGAAGTATACAGGTTTTACGGCGAGGGGTTAGAATGTATTTTATGAAATGGCTTTCAAAGAATTTGTTTTTGCCCACTCACGCTTTTGTTTTTGCGCCCCTCCAGGTTCTAGTAGCTTAGTGGGTTCGGTGGTTTTCCCAGAGACGTCCCGGCATTCTGACAGACATTCACCTATGTAGGGTCGCCTTCGGGTGCACTATTGTCGTATCGTTTCTTTTGGACTGCTGTAGGCCTTAGGCTCTGAATTCAGTGTCTTATTTACGCTAGCACATATTCTATCACTCTATATTTGCTAGTTTTTAAATTATTCGCACTTTTATATTACTGTTTTTTAGCTTCCGCACTGTGCACATGGCTACGTCACTTCCACGTGACGGCCAGCATGCCCTGATCTCGGTTGGGGTGTGTCAAGTATAATATATTTAGGTACAGACATTTCGGTATATACTAGTTTATTATAATATATTTAGGTACAGACATTTCGGTATACAAGTTTAGTATCATATATTTAGGTATGAAATTTTTTGGTACACTTTTGTTTTTGCATATTTTCTTATGTGGCACTAATTCACTACAATATATTTAGGTACGAACATATCAGTACACTAATTTAGTAAAATATATTATGATACGAATATTTAGGTACACTAATTAGAGGAAGTAAAATAAATATAATGAATTAAAATGTGTATAATAAAAAATAATTTTAATTTTAATGTAATGACATTAAATAAGATATCTATTGAATATTAAAACAAAATTATAATATAAATTTGAATTAAGTACACATTAAATGACTAAAATCAATATTCATTCTAACACCAAATTTTAATTAAATTTTAATCTTCTTCAAAAATTAAAATTCAAAAACCCCTAAAATATTTGTATAGGTGAGGACAATAAGCGTATCTAAATGAAGATGGAGACAGCTAGCTAGCGCTAGGTATTGGCTTATTCTGAATCTCTCTGATTGCTTCATCAAGTAAGGAGGACGAATATATGACATACTTATTTTCCTGGGAGGCTGGGGCGTCGTCTGTTGAGGATCCAAGTGTGGATCTACTTTATTCAGATTCTGTTCACCCTGCAATTGCAAACACAGTTACTTACAGGAGTTTAGATACTTACCCGATCCTCTTTGTAAGGATCCTGAAAATATGTGAATTGTGTTTGTTATCGTACATCATCTTGTAATCATAAATCATTTTAAATATTTTTACTTAAAAATAAACATAAACAGTGATAAAAAAATGAACGCATAATATATGATAAACAGACACGATTCTCGAATCCCCAAAATCCTCGTCAAAAGAATCCGGAGCGGATCCTGTTGGTACTTACGGAGTCGTCTATATATATACACTCACCTGTATATAGCTAGGCAAAGGGGATGTACTTCAGGCAGGGGCCTGAAGGGAAAGAGAAGTATTTGAAGCCAGCCCATCAAAGCATTGGGTTGGACTTCAAGATCAAGTTTGGGCTTACGGTAGACCTATTCTTTTTTGCTTGACATCTTTTATTGAAGAAAGCTAAAATTTTACTCAAAATCAATGAACGAACAACAAGAAGAGACTAGTCTAACTCTAGCTATATAAGTCCATGCAAAGATTTCATTTATCAAATATCAATTTTATGTTATAGACGTTTATGACTCCCCATCTATGCCCTACAGTAATGACTCCTCTAGCATTATGATTTTATATTCACCAAAATAATGATGGCATACATCTAATTACTTTGTGGATTAATTGGATTTCACTTGACTATATGGCTCTAGTGTGTGTTCAGGATAGAAGTTTTGTATAAACATGTCACCATGCTATTAAGTATTTTAATTTAGGTTCTTTTCTTTTTATAAGGGTTATGATTCAACTCACATAAATAACGTGTTTGATAATTATAACTGATCAATTATATAGCTTAGACCAAATCTCAGACACCCCAATATCAATTGTATAAAAATAAAAAAAGTTGAATATGACTGATCAATTATATAGCTTAGACCAAATCCCCGACACCCCAATATCAATTGTATATATATAAAAAAAAAGGCTGAATATGACTAATCAATTATATAGCTTAGACCAAATCCCCGACACCTCAATACCAATTGTATACAAAAGAAAAAAGTTGAGTATGACTGATCAATTATATAGCTTAAACCAAATCCCCGACACCCGAATACCAATCGTATAAAAAAAAAAATTGAAATAGTAGATCGGTTGAAGTGTAATGATCTTACATATGTAATCGTTGTATGTCATGTAAACGTACTCTTCTACCCTTTCTCGGGAGTTGATGACCATTCATACTATTACCCTAAACAGAGGTTCACAACAATTGCTAGCTATTGCCATGGGCCCATGACATTTTCTGGGCAGAAATGATCAAGAAGGAATTAACTGATAAAGCATTGGTACATATGTAAATGTACAAGGCACGCTTTTTATAATGCATTGCATATAATTTTTCCTGCAAATTAATGGGTACATAAATTATACAAAGCAATATTCTAAGACATGAAGAGCTTGCAATTTGCTATCATACCCAGCAAGATAGAGATGAAAGTTAAAAATTGTTCAACCCTAATTTAAGTACATACAATGTGTGTTTGTTATATACATATAACGGGATTTTTCGGAGTATTCTATACTCCGGAGCACCATGGAAATTTAGCCTATCAACAAACCATCACAGCTTATGAAAAAACCGTTCTGTTTAGAATCTTACAACCACAACAACCAGGCCATATATTATGCAGGAACGCGAATTAAGCATAGAAATTGAGGCACTCATAATCCCTTGGAACCAGGAAGGTCAATCCATTGCAACTGGATTTCGACCTCGCCGCATTCGACATTTCTCAATCTGAGGCACATGTCTTGCACCACCTTCCCATCCTTCCATTGGATGCAGCTCTCTTCAGCCAGGCAGTTTGCCCTATCTGGTTGTATTCTCGATACCGTAGTGCCGCTTGGGACGCCTTCCAAGTTCATTTTCAACGCCTCTAAATAAGGCGATATGCCGAATTCTGCATCTCCCATTTTGTCATCCTTGCTGAATGTGTCATGGTCAAACACAGTCTACACCCGCACACAAACAAACACCATCAACCAACTCACATATCTTTTGGTTTTGGAAAGCACTAAAATCCACTAAAAGTCGAAAAATAAAATGAAAATTCATCTAGGCAGGAATGAATGGAAAATAGGAGAATCAAACATTAACCTATGAAGTAGAAGTGGTATCTGAAGCTAATCATGGATTGTCACGTAAGAAAGTTAAAATACATGGCAGTGCCTGATAGACTCAGGATACCGCTGCCGTGACATCTAACACGTGTATGGAAGTCTCTCTCCTAAAGATGATAGCCGTTGGCATCAATGTTCTATCTGTCATAAATTTAAAATGCTTATCACAACAGTTGACGGAAAAAGCAAAAAGTGCTTCTACAGCTTACCAGCTTGATAGGTATACTGGGGTCTGTAACAGACAGAGTAAGATCTTCATTCCACTCTGGGTTAACATCCTTTTTAATTACACGAGTCTTCAGTTTCTGCATCAAAAAAAGGTTTAATCCTTACACATAAATAGATAAAAGGAACATAATTCTAATTCAACAAAAGCAAAGCATTTGTGAAGCTGCAGCAAAAGCACAAATCAGACCAGATTGAGATTATTACAAAGCTATGAAATTCTCAATCAAAATTGATGAATTTCATCACACAAATGAAAAACCTGGATTACAAGCCAATTGCAAAAATTACAAACGAAAAAAAGGACTTTTTAAGAAGGGTATTTTGATGATGCAAAATTGAAACACCCCGTGAAAGAAATTAACAAAATTGATAAGAATTTATCAGAGAAATTCATAAAAAATAAGATTAAAAAACAGAGCAAAACAGTAAACTCAAAGTTGAAGAAATGGAGGAGGAGGAGGAGGAGGAAGGGGAGGGGGGAAATACCTGTTTACCCATCTTGATGACGACGTAGGGATCGCTGCTACGGACGTCGCGGACGGCGAGATTAACACCGCGCTTGACGTGGATGCGGAGAAGACCGAGCAGATTCTCCATGAGTGACTTGCTACCGCCTTTCGCCGGTTTCTTTGGTGAGTCCATCTACATGTGTTATGATCTCCCTCCCTCTTTTATACTAAGCCACCAACAATCCTCGTTTTATTCGTTATCACCTACCAACCCCATAAAAAAGTAATTAAAACAATTACTTTAAAAATTAAAATTAAAATTAAAACAAAATTGACCAAGTGCAAATAACATGAACGGAAGCACATCGACATTGTAGTGCAACGTTTATTAAAAGGAAAACAAATAAAAATGACATGATTGACTTTTTAATGTAAAAATATGATTTTTCGTTAAAATAAACAATACTGGAAGTTTTTTATTAAAGTTCCCTTATTAAAACTATTTATCAACACATGTCTATGACATACAAACGTATGAAAGAACGGATGTCTGTATCCGTTCATAATTAGGGCCACTACAAATGAAACAAAATACAAAGAAAGAAACTCTAATCGAAAATGAAATGACAATGTGTTAATAAATAACTGATGTGATCCGACAACGAATAAGAACAAAAATAATGAAAAATGTAGGAAAAAATGGGAATAGGGCCCTACCAAGTTGGTACTATGAGATGGAATAATCGTTTTCTTGATTTTTGTTTTGTTTTCTTGCTTCTGAGAAATTGGGTTGAATATTCCTTTTCGTCTGTTTTTTTGTGAGGGAAGGAAGAAGATGGGTAAATGTAAATTGAAACGAGGTAAATTTTTGGGACTCAAGGGGAGGAGATGGGAAGGTGACCGGGAGATCCGGTTGTCAGTTTATGGGTCAATGGATGGGATTTAATTATGGGTAAATTGTGGAGGTTGACTGGCAAGGATGTGAAGGCCGTAAATGACGCTTGTTTGGTCGGTCGCCGTGGTCATCGTCGACCCTCGTGGTGTGGCGGCTTACTGGTCTCGGTCTCTCATCTTTAAAATTTTGCAGGTACTGAAAATACCGTCACGTAATATAATCGTTTCACATGCTATAATATAGTTGGATGAAAGATTGATACATCTCAATATATATAATTTGAGTTTAACCGTCAACGACGGAGCCAAAATGAACATATTCAGGGATCTCTTCTATCTATTTTCATTGTGAGAAATCAAAGTGACAATCTTATTTTGGTCAAAAACCCAAAAAACTAATACAATGTTTGAAAATTTATGTGAATTTTCTGTGGTTTTTGGTTGGTCAGGTTGTGGCAATGATCAAATCTTGCACCCGAAATGGTATTGGTATCTCATGCTCACTCCCAAGGTAAGGTTTTATGGACATGGTGGACACTGATAATTACGATCGTTGTTTCTCTCTCTCTCCCTCCCTCCCTTTCTCTCTCTAAACTAAGAGCTGCTCACGTCGATTTTTCACTATCTGCAACGAGGCATAGTTTACGATAGCTTCACTCCCAGAGTATACAGAAGAAGAGCAGGATCTTCACAGTTTACGATATGCTCGACTCGTTGTTTGATTAAGGCAAAGAACGAGTCGAGCATATCAAGCGACATTATTTGCTTCCAGAGAAACCAACCAAAATACAAGTTAAGAACGAATGCAATAAATTGCAATGTGAAGGCAGAGATGAATATCGTAATGGCTGTGCTCATGATCAGCTTCAAACCTCACCTAAAAGCTAGAATTACAACCGAATGTAACGTATCGAAGCAACAAAATTGGACTGTTAGGTACAAATTTTGGCGACAATAATAATAATCTAAGGTTCCTAAAAACTGATCTGACCAAACATTTATCCAGGCCCCCAAAATAAACACCGTGATCGTAAGAGTAAAGATTCTCAACTTCTCTGGAGTCTCTTCCATCCCGCTTCTCATTCGATTGGCATAGACACATGGCAATTGTTGACTGTCTAGTTTAAAGGGGGTTTTCACGGACAAGCGAACTTCAATAAGCTACAGGAATACCTTCCTCAATCTTTCAGCAGCAGCGGCCGCTCGTTTGTTGGTTGGCTCAAGAACAAGTGCGTGTCTAAAGTCTGCAGAATGAAGCACCATCGAACCGAAGTTACTTTAGGAGATTGGAAACAAACACACTCGTGTTCTGAGCTATGAAACAGAATACCAAAACAATGTATATCTGCAACTCCAATCTGAAATATATCTAGTTTGCACCCGGTAAACACTATTCTCCTTAAACTTTTACCCTTGGTTTTTAGCTTAGGGGTAGATGATGAGGGTAATACTGTCGGTCTCTCAGAAGGAAGTATAAAAAAATAAAAATAAACAACCAAATCTGACCTTCAATCGCATCCTTATAGTAACCAAGCATCTCCCTTGCAGTGCCTCTTCGGAAATAAGCTTTCACATTCTGAAGAAACATAAGTAGGCAACAATGTCATTGTACAATGGTTATAAAAATGTACTCAATAATCCGCACTTGAAGAATATGAAAGAACAATATCAAGGAAAAAAAGATAAGCAAGAACTTCACATGACCAAACTATATTACTCCATTCTCTCTACAACCGACGAAAAAAACTAGAAATTTTTAATCACATAACGTCATATAACAACGATTAATAAATGGAACACAATGAGCCCATGGTCCATAGCATCTACCCAATAATTGTGAATATCCAGTAATTATTACTTTTGGAGAGAAGTTACCTTTTTGTCAAGGTTGATGGCTTTTGTACAATCTGCCTCCGCTTGAATGAAACTGGACGGAAGAAGTAAATCAGAAACCTACTCCAAGAAATCAATTTAGATAATAAATGTCCCAACAGATAGCATTACCTTCCAACTTCAAGATATGCTTGAGCCCTGTTACTGTAATACGTTGCATTGTTGCCACTAAGTTTGATAGCTTCTGAATAAAAGCCAATAGCCTTCTGCCACTCTTTATCTTTGTATGCTTGATTTCCCTAATTATTTTGTAAAGATAACAGAAGAGGCTTTAGAATATGCAAATGCAATTCGAAAAGAAACATGAATAGCCATTATTCAAATATGACTTGGTAGAACCATTGTTCGTGTCAATTCATAATTCACGATGTTAAGCAAAACCAATAGAAAATTGATATCATGATGTTCTATGTTACAAAGAAAATCAACAAAGACAGCAACAACTTGAAAGCAAAATGGACGATAATCACGATAGCAATGACCTACCTTTTCCTTGGCAATTTCAGCAGATTGTTCCTTGGTGAGAGCATTTTTGGATGATCTGGATTTTGAAGCAATATCGGCCTGCTCCTGTAAAGATGTATACATAGTGTGCAGTGCATCCAGTAAAAAGCGATCACCCCCATGCCTGGCTATGAAAGAAACTGAAACAGGGCACTTGTCATAAAATCCCAGAGGTGCTGTGACCTGAAGAGTAGACATCCAAAAAGTATAGGTGATTAGGAGAAATTAAAATCAGTAGATTCAGTACAAACTTATCACTATGCAATGAATACATAATGATACACGAAAATATTAAAGATTGGAGAGAGAGATTGATGGATTTTCACCTGACAACAGCCGGACAGGCTTGCAATACTTAAGAGACCAAAAGTACGATTCCGGAAGTCCTCAGAGAGCATCTCCTTCCCCCCAAGTTTTGCAGGGGGGTCTGCTATAGTTGGGATAACCAAAATTCCATCATCCTACATAAGCAAATAAAAGAGAAAAGCATAATCAATCTAATAAACCTCGATAAAAACATTAAAGTATTAGGAAAAAGAGCAGCATGTTTTAATTATACGGTGTCCTTAAACTGTAGTAAAGAAATGGAATTCAGGCATGTTAATCTTGGGGAACAAAGTAGCCTTAAAAGACTACAGTGGCACATTGAAAACAACCACTATGGTTAAATCAGACATAAATTAAGAGCACTTGACAATCCAGTCAGCCATCCAGTCAAGCTAATTTGGCTTCGTAATTAATAAGACAATCTGTACGTATGTGTGCTTGGAAGTGTGCATGTATGTGTGTAATGTATAGATATGTTTGGCTGCGAGAAAATTAGTTTTAAGTTAATAATTAAAAATGGCTACCTTCAATAGAGAGCTGACAGCTGCCTGTAATTCATTCCTAATTGATTTGCATATCTCAATCTCCTCATCGGATGCCTCCAGTGGCCCACATATTTGCGCTGAAGTTGCAGACTCCAAAACAGGCTTTACCGAATCAATCCACTCCCCATGATTATGTCTGAACTCATGCCTACAATACGGAACACAATAAACCTCAATTACTATATGATCAAGGTAAATTTTCAAAATCAAAAGACAAACGAAATGAACAAAGTGAAAAACTGCCTTCTTATGAACCTCATATTTTGCCAAGTACTTTTCTCAGGTTAGAAATTACTATTAAATTTTTATCATCTTGCACACACTTCCCCACACTTAAAGAGTTTCAGTTTCCCCCTTCCTATTCAACCATAAGAATACACCAAAGATATTGGAATAGAAGGAAAAAATATAAGCACAGTAACCTCAGTCTCAAAATTATGACATATACAGAAGATTGACTACTGACTAAATAACCTCACCTTTGAAGAAACTGCACAACATTGGCAAGCAATTTGAGGGATGAAGTCTTTACTTCACCATTTGTCTTCTGGCCATTAAACTTTTTCAAGCTTGGAACTTTTGAATTGCAGTAGTCCCCAATATTTTCATGTTTCAACACTTGTTCTGAACCAGTTTATCGATAACTCAATCAGAAAACTTTCAAAACAGCAGTCCACCACGGAAAGGAGCATATAATGGATCTATAAATCAAAGGGAAAAAAAACATACTTCCAAAAAGCTTCTCAGTGGATTTGATAACCACTTGAACAATCCTATCAACAGGAATCTTTACTTCTTGAAAGCAATCATCAGCTATTACAATTTGTCTTGGACTGCGTGAAACTGCATAAGGAAGTTGCAGCAGCACGTGTCCAACACGACGCAGGACATTAGGATCCCTAGCAAACCATCCTGCAAATGTGATCTTACAAGTTAAATAATATCTCCATACTAGCAAAAAATTAATAGACAAAAGTTACAAGTTTTCAGGCATGGATAGTTGCACATTAACATATATTGCAGCAGCCTGGCAGCATACAGAATTGCATCAATACATACCAACAGTATCCAGACTTGTAGAAACAGGTATAAATCCAGCATGAGAAACAGAGCCATGTGAAGCTCGGAATCCAATGATGCCACAAGACCCAGCAGGTACTCTAACACCACCAACAGTATCAAGACCTGCACCGTGATGTTACCATTAAGTAAATATTACATTATCATACATGCTGCACTGTTGAAATTGAAAAGAGGGGCATTTTTGAGATACAGTAAGATTAAGAACATGCTGAGTATCCAAATAAGAGTTTTTTCAGATAAGAATCACAAGATAGGCAAAGGAAAGGAAACCAATTCCTTCAAATATGCATTTCCCATGGTCAAAGACTAACAATAAAAGTTACAAAACTCAAGGGGAAATGTAAAGAAGATGAAGAACGATTTCAGAAAGGATAAGAAAAAGAAGCTTACCCAGTGAAAAGTCAACAAGATCAGCGGCTACAGCCACAGCAGCTCCACTAGAGGATCCACCTGGTTTTCTTGAAGATGCTGCTGGATTGGTGGGGGTACCGTAATGCTTATTTTCTCCAGTAATACTGAAAATAAACACGCCGATAAGAATTGGAATTATGTAACCGAGACTAAAGCTAGAGTTGGAGAAGTTGAAAGGAAAATATAGATGTCATTAGTTGGTGTTGATCCTCAAAACTATTTTCTTATTTCAATTTGATAGAAGATCCTCACAATCACATTAGGAATAGCACCTTCAGCCCGTCAAGGGCCCAGTCAAAGTGTATGTTCATAGCTATACATACCTATATGCCAATTCATCCACAACAGTTATCCCAGTGCATGTGGCACCTCCTTCGACAAGAGTGGAAACCACAGGCGACGTCCGGGAAGCTGCATCATGTGTTCTTCCCCAATCAGGATGACCAAAACCAGTTACTTGTCCCTCAATTTCAAATCTGCAACCATGTTACAAAGTTCTTCATTTTTAACACAACTAAATAGTCTAAAAAAACCTATGACTGCAAAGCAAAGAAAAAGTGCATTCGTGTGTCTCCGCATCTACACATATCGACTCAATGTACAGAAAAGATGTTCATTTATTCTTTCAATGTCACATTCGAATTCAGCCGTAACTGCCATCCTGGGTTCCATAGATGTTCTGCTTTTTTTTAGTATAGTAATCACTCCCTCTCAATCACTAAACACAGCAAACCTATCGAAAACGTAAAACGAACCTATAACACAGTTCAAGTTCAACAAGCTACTTTCGAATCAGTAAGATCAAGAAAAGCAACAGGCAGAACAGAAGTCAGAGATTTTTACAGAAAGAAAAATAAGTCATGAATTTCAGGCCTTTTCCCCATCCGGGTTCCAACCCAATTCAACTAATCCTTTCAACTATCAATACTAACCATAACTTCAATCAGGTTCAATAAAGCTAACCAAAAGGCAAAGACTGAAACTTTCACAGTTCCATGCTTTTCCTTTTTCTCAGCAGCCAAAGAGACATACTTTCTCTTTTTCCACTCTAACAAATATTGGGTTTCAACTATTTTCTCGGGAAACAAACAGAGGGGAAGTGGGTAGAGAGAGCGTACACGTCGGAGACAGCGAAGGTGAGGCCGGTGAGGGGGTGCGGAGCCTTGGGAGGAGCAGGCTGTGGCGGAGGAAGAAGTTGAAGCCGCTCAACAAAGGCGCCAAAGTCTTCTCTGATGGTTTTCTTCAGCTTCCTTGTCATCAGGAGAATTCCAGCCAAACCTAAACCCAGCAGAACCCACAGATTGGCGGCCTGAGACGCCATGAATGTGTTTTTCTTTGAGATTCTTCGTTCGAACCCTCCGGAATTGCCAAAACAGCAAGTTATGGATTTAGAGAGAGAGAGAGAGAGAGAGAGGAGGAGGAGGAGAAGGAGGAGGAGGAGGAGGGGAGAGAGAGAGAGAGAGAGGGAGAGGATAAAGCAGCGACCAGCGCAGCGTAACCTAGGCGGAAAGACGGTTCTCTTTGGTTGAGGTTATTACTGTTCACATACAGTGAAATATCACGAAGGTCCTCCAACTTCTCAACTTTTTTTGTTTTTATTTGTAGCTAGGTCCTCCAAGTTCCTCAGAATATCAATAAAGGTCATAATTGATAGTTGCTATAAAAAACGAGAAATGCTAAGAAGACTTTCTCAAAGTGGGGTTTTTAACTCCTTTATTGCCTCACCTCACCGGCCTCACATTTTCCGTCTCCAAGAGTCTTCTTAACATTTCTCGTAAAAAATGGTTTCACAATAGTATGGATGCAAATAACATCTCCCCAAGTTTCATAGAAAATACAAATTCAAAGGCAGGATAATAAAATTAAATAAAAATTAATAATTAATAATAATTTAAAGGCAATATAGTAATAGAGGGATAAAAATTCATACGTCTTAAACAAATCCAATAACGCATGAAATAAAAATTAAAAGACGAACATCGACGGTGAGGGGAAGGTAGAACCATTTGGTGATGGGGAGTAAAGATCACTGAAAAGAGGAAAGAGGAAGAGGCTAGGATGAGGGGAGGGAAAAAGGGGCTACCACCAATCCCAAGCTAAAGGGGTTAACAAGTATGAAAATTGCGGAGTTATGGGAAGGAGCGAGCAGCTAAAGAGATCAACTTGTATTTATCTTTCATTACAAGCGATATTACTATTTTACGAGAGAAAATAAGAGTAAAAGCCACATCAAATCCAATACCATTTAACACCGCAAAATAAGGCTTGTTCTGCCAATAATTGAGGTGAAGAATCATACAGAAGAGTACTCAGTAATATCAATTGGATTGAAACTAATTTAACACAAGATCCACACCCCTTGGGTAAAATTCGACACTCCGGTTTTCTTATTCCTTGTAATGGTAAACGTTGCTTGTATTCAAACAATCGAATAATCGCAAAACGTTGCCTGTATTCAAACGATTTATAACTTCCGAGTGTCTCCTGAAAAATCTTTCTTCTTAGTATTTGATCAAGTTTGGTGACAGATACGGCAAACTCAAAAATGAAGTATAGAACCCAGCTACAAACTCGTCGGGATGTCCAATTTACTCCTTAATCCTTGCAGGCTCTCCCACGGCACGCTCCATTCTTGAGTACCATTCACCGATGCGTGTATGCTCCACCATATCTTTACCCGACCTCAAATAACGGATTGGTCTTAGCACCCCAAAAACAGCAAGGTCTGCCAAATTAGGTTTAGAGCCCCCTGACACAAGAAACATGTACATGTAAACAACCAATACTTACTTATCAAGACTCACTCAGGCAAAGGGTTCACGATAGCGTTCTCATCAACTGATCGTTGATCTTGATTTTAGTCTCTAGACGATTACTACTTCAATTTCTTCCTCGACAAAACTTTGTGCGGGTACATTCAAGTATCGTCTAATAGTCGAGAGTACTAAATTTATTTCTTTTCTCATAAGCATATGCATCAATCTATTTCTATTAGTGTCACTTAATTAATGCATCTCCTGATCATTTATTAAGTAAAAGGTAACCCGCATGCCATCTCTATGTGACAGAACCTGCCTATGCCACAAGTTAGAACACATACCAAGGAAGTCCCGCCCGTTAAGAGCATCAACCCATGTTTCTGCTGCTTCATACAGGGATGCACGCTCATCAGTAATATTATATTTCTTCTTTAGTTTCTTTGACACAAAGTACATGGCTGCAGCACCAGCATACTTCACTGAAATTTTTTCTGTGTAGCTAAAATTACCTGCAGTTACGGCAAAACTAAGATCAGAATACAAATAACCACCAAAACAACAGAAGAAAACCGACAAGTAAGTATTAGCAATACAAACTGAAGAAGGTAATGAAGATTGTCGTAGAAGGCCCATAAAATCTGGGTGCATAGATGGGATCTAGTTACCATTGCTTGTGATATAGTCAAAGGACTCAAGGGCCTCCGATGTATTTCGGTATATGTTTGGTGACAACATATGCACCAAGTGATTATCAACCCACCTATACCACAACAAGAAGCACACCAAAGATATCAAAATTTAATATTCTATGCAACCAAATAAAAAGTATCAAAACTTATAGTAATGAACCTAGTACCACGTAATACACGGTCATGAATTTAACAGTTAGTAATACAAAGATACCAAAGCTCAAGGTATGCCACACCAACAGCTTCAAAGCTGAAGCTCCACAGAGTGAGTGATACGCAACTTCTCAAATCATAACAACAATTTATGAGTGTTTTTCATTTCATTCACCAAGTTCATACAAAATGAAATCTAATTTGCTTGACCAAAATCCATGTAAATGTAAAGAGGCTTGTACAAGAGATGTCTGAACCAAGGTTTATCGATAATGCCCATTTCAGACGAAGTTCCGAGCTCATTTCCCATTTTATGAACTTTCAGAACAATAAAAATCTTATAAACTTTCAGCTCATTTCCCAAAGGACTGGAGGCGTGCATAATTCAAAGTGGTCATCAGATCACAGATTCTTCTATTCTTGTAATAAGCTACTAAGAGGTGAGAATCACTCAGCAGCATTCTCTCCTTTTCTTTATTTCTTAGATAAATCATGGTTCAGTGGCTCACACCGGCAACCTTTTAGTATATTACCACTCCTCCCATTTTATCCAAACATGAATATATACATAAAAAGCTAGCTTGAGGAAAAGATAACATACTGGCGCCACTTTTTCTCTTCATCGTCATCTGAGGAAGAAGCAGCTGCTCTCTCAGGAACAATTTTGCTATTCAACTGATCAATTATAGCTGCAAACAGACACGTGCTCAATTTTAATTGAGATATGTAATTATAGTGCCTATATATTCAACAACGCGTGGATCACATTATTCTAATTAGAAATCGAACCAAGAAACTGAAGCAATCTAAAAACAGTCACAAGGACAGGTACCTGATGAATCAACCAGCTGCTCCCCGTCCACCATCAGTATAGGAACCTTCTGATAATCGGACCATTTAATCTCTTTCTTACTAAGTGGGTTGACCTCCACAACTTTATAGGGTATATCGTGGTAATCCAAGAATGCTGATACAAGAATAAAGTATCCCCAACTCGTAAACAACACGATAATAACTATTTTTTGGATATTATTATAGGAGCAATAAAACAAATTAAAAATGTAAAAAACCCGAAAAAATGAAGGTGATCTTTAATAACTTCAAAAACTCCCAAATGTGGCACAGCATCGAATGCTTGTTTCGCGCAACAAGCAACCCCATTGCATTATTTGTCCAAATAGTTCGATTCCTAGCGAAAGTTCATAATCGAGTGTCAACTACATGTAAAAGTTTGTTCATGTAACCATTATAACTGCAGAGAAATTCAAATGTATGTTTCATCCATCCTAAAATAGTAAAATTGAACATTTTATCACGAAAGCTCATCCATTTTTCGATAATTCAGTGAAAATTTTAAACAACTCAAAGGCAACAGAAACACAATATCTCCAAAGCAATTCAACAAGTAAAGATTTGATTTTTACCTTTAACTTTGTTGCAGAAAGGGCAGGCTTCGTACTGGTAAAGCACAACTTCCTTGGGAACAAGCGCAGCCGGAGGCGGCTCTTTGGCATAGACCTCCGGAGCGAGCGACGTGGCGACCGCGACCGAAGCCAGAGTTCCGGCGACGCCGATTGCCAGCTTCCCACCCGAACCTCCGGAAAACGAATCGAGCCATCGACGAGGAGCCGGAGAACCGGTGGAGGCGGTCCCGTACAGAGCAACCTGGAGAAGACCGTAGGTGGCCGGGGCTGACGTGGCGCCGCCGCCGCCGTGGGCGGTGGAAAGGGATCGGGAGAGGAGGGGGAGTGAGGCGAGAGTGGAAGCCCTCCTCATGGTGGAGCGCCTGAAAGCAAAAGCAGACGTAGAAAGCAGAAAGCCGATCGATTTTCTATGGGAGATTACTCCGGAGAGGTTAAAAAAGGGTTTAAGTCGGTTTTGTGATCCAACGGTGTGGGGTTTTGGGAGTCCAAATCACCGGGGGGTGTTTGGATCTAAAAATCCTAAATTATTTTTATTTTCTGTGATAAATCATCCTAATTATTAATTTTGCAGTCCAATTATTAATTTGGCGCAAAATGCCGCTAAGTTCTTAATTAATTCTATTTGCTTTTACTTCCTAAAACTAAAAAAAATAAAAATAAACATTTTTCCCACAAAAAAGGCAAAAAACTTGTCAAATTTTGATTTCAAACCATTAACTATGACCATTTTTGTTTTCAAACCATTAACTTAAGCTGATGATTAACTAAGATTATGAGAAATAAGAAATAGGTATTGATTAAAGCAAGTGAATTCAATCCAAAGTTATCATTAACAATACTCGTTTTTATTTGTAAGTGGAAAGTCGATTTCTACGAATGATGTTTTTATTCAATACTGTATACTCGTTTTTATTTGTAAGTAGAAAGTCGATTTCTACAAATGATGTTTTTATTCAATACTGGGTCAGCTGGTGGTTTCATCACGATAGTCTATATACTCGAGGTTGAAAAGACTCACAAAAACATTTCAACTTCCTCCTAACTAGCATTACGCCAAAAATCAAACTCAAAGAGTGTCGTGCTAAATATGAATCTAACATTCAATTTTCACTTTTTGCTCCCTATAAAACCCATCACCCTCAAAGTACCTCACTTTGACTGATTTGGATGCTCTCCAAGGCAACTGATCGGGATCTTTCTGATCAGTGTAGTGGATCGTTAGATTTAAAAATTCAACGGTTACAATTATTATAACTTTTAGAGAGTCTCCTAGTTTGTAGCCGTTGAATAAAAATTTAACAGTCCACTAACACTGGTCAGGAGGATCTGACCAGTTGCCTTGGAGAGGATCCAAATCCTACTTCGACAAAACCCACATATTTTACCAGTAACCATCATCTTGTTCAATTTTCACTTAAATCCCCTATCTTTATTCAATTCCAATTAAATCCTCTATCTTTTTCGATTTTCACTTTTTGGTCCCTCTAAAACCCATAACCCTCAAAGTACCTCACTTTGATAAAACCCTCATCTTTACCAGTTACCGTCATCTTGTTCCCTCAAAACACTCCAAACTCCATTAACACACACATTCTCTCTCTCTCTCAACAAAATGTCAGCTGCTTCAAAACTCATGCGTTTTGGGACCTCACTCCTCCACGCTCCCACAAGGACTCTCTCTCCTACCCCTTCACTTCTCTCTCTAAAACCCTTCGCCGCTCCCAAGTCTCTGCGCTTCCCCCGGTACGCCTCCTCTTCGGCTGCGATTGAAAGTATTGACACCGTCCCCGCCACCAGCACAGAATCTCCGCCGCCGCACCACCCCTGGCCCGAGTGGGTGGCCTTCGTCGACCGCTTGAAGACCAAGGGGTACTTCACGGGAACGCCGCCGAAGGAGAGTGATGTTTACACGGATATAAATGAAGTTAAGGAGGCATCTCTCAGCTTTGCTCGTGACCGCTATGATGTTTTCAAGTAAGGTTCTTTTTATTTGTGATATTGCTCTGTTTGGTTGCCGAGAAAATGTTGGAATTCATAAGTGTTGGTTGAAGTCCCATTGAATTATTGCCATTCTTGAGCTTTGGTGACGTTTCGTTTGCTACTGCAATTCCATAAAGATATGATCTTTTTACTTCTGTTAATTAGCAAGGATTAGGAAATTATGCAATGAGATGTATGGATTAAAGCTAGCTGCTTAATTAACAATCATGATTGCTTCTTATGGTGGCAAAGTAATCCATAGTTTTGCCATTTTCGGGTTGTAAGACTTAGGCGGCAAGGAGCTGTTGTGGTAGTTGGGGAGTTGGTTATGTGATATGGATGAACTGAAAAGCTCCTGTACTGCAGTGGGAAGATGAATCTGATAAGAAAAGAGTTCATATTTCGATTGAATTGTATCTAGTTATTATTGAACATTCCGTAATATTTGTATGAGCATCTGAAAATGTGTTCGACATTTCTTGCATGATTGCGTCTAACCTTGTTTCGTTTTGATTTTTTTTGTGCAGATCATTGTCTATGGAAGATATTCAAGCAGTTGTGGAGGGTGGATGTCCCAATCTTTTCCGGAAGGCTGTGAATTCAGCAAAAAGATTGAGATTCCATTTGAGACTAGATGAAGGGGATGTATGTAATTGCTCTCATTTACCCGATTTTGTTTATTATCCAGTTTTCACTTTTCTATGCTTCATGGGGAATTCCTTTATAAACCTTGAGACCTGTTTATGTGTTCTGGATGGTGCTTACAGGTTTGTGGTGGTTGTAATCTCCGAGGTTCCTGCGATAGAGCTTATGTGGTTCTTAAGGAATCTGAAGCAGCAGCACGTACAGTGGATATAGTGCGAATACTATTGTTTTATGCTTTGGATCCCGTTGTTTTTTCTGAGGGAGAGAAACCGCCTGGTAGAGAGCTTCTAGAAACATCTGCAAGGAAGCTGCTCTCTGAGTTGCTTCAACTCAGCGAAACAGCTGTTGACCCATCACTTCCAAAGCCTGCTGCCAAAACTATTGAGAAGAAGAAATTTTATCCAAGTTTCATTGGCGATGAACTATCTCAAGATGTTGAAATGAAGAGAGGAGATTGGATGTGTCCCAAGTAAGTTACACCAAGTTATCGTGATCATCTCGTGCGTGTCATACCTCTTTCATTTCTATCGTTATAATTTGGTATCTTGTATGACTTTACGACTTGATCAGAGGAATTTATCTCCTCAAGTAAGGAGCCTTTTTCCCTGTCTTGTTTGTTGTGACAGATGACTATAGCAATGCACCATGAGTATGTGTGTGTGGCTTTACAGTGGTAAGACGGTGGTAACACTACATCAGTGACGTATAGTTTATTTCGGGAATTTCGTGAAATATCCACGTCTGGAGCTTGTATACTTTATTTCGGGATTGATTGTCTTGCTTCGTATATGGATATAATAAAACTCAGTTACTGGAATTGATTGCTGAATCTTCTAGTCAATTATTTGTTGTTCTTTTCACTTGCAGTTAGTACCGTACTAGTTTTCATGATTTACTGTTGTTATCTTGTTGCAGGTGCAATTTTATGAACTTTGCTAAAAATTTAAGATGCCTACAATGTAAAGAAGATGGCCCAAGAAAAGCTGATGCGGGTGATCTCGAAATCGAAATGAAAAAGGGAGACTGGATCTGCACCGAGTAAGCCACTTCTCTTGCATGAGTGCTTACCTTGTAATCAGTTTTTAACAGAATTACGATACTTGTCTAGCTTACCACCATATTCTGGAGTTCCGAGTGTAACGTATCTTTACTGGTTGCGTTTTGTTACAGATGCAGTTTCATGAACTTCTCTAGAAATATACGCTGCCTAAAGTGCAAAGCTGAAGGGCCAAAGAGAGTCGGTCCAGATGTTGAAATGAAGAAAGGAGACTGGACTTGCCCAAAGTAAGTCTTCTTTTTGTCCTGACAACCAACATAGTTCAGCAACTCTTAGGTATTTAAACGGAGTACGCTAATTTTTATCCTAAGTTATATTTGATCACGTAGCTTACGTTCTTCAGGTGTGCATTCATGAATTTCGCAAGCAATAGGAAGTGTTTGCGTTGTCAAGACCCACGGCCCAAGAAAAATCCTGCAGACTGGGACTGTCCCTCGTAAGCCTCTCTTCCTCTTTGTTTGTTTGCCTGTGTGTGGGGTGTTGTTTTAGATTTGATATCAACGTCAACTGCATATTTACAAGATGGTTTCGTGTACTGCAGATGCGATTTCTTGAATTATGGCAGAAACGCGGTCTGTCTGAAGTGCAACTGTAAACGCCCTAAAGAAGAAACTACCGAGTACGAGGAGCAGATGTGGAGGCGTCCGCGCTAGTGTATTGTTAATAACTTAATAGGCCCAAAGACATTGTTTTCTAGGGAGATATGTGCATGACATGCTTGCTTACGGTGAACCTTGATCACTTCGTAACATATCAGGCTTACATAGACGGGAGAGTGATGAAATGTAGGCGGCTTTAGCTTTATATACTGCCAAGGACAGGAACCATTTGTGACCAATGATTTTATAGTTTCTATGGAAAGGTGTTCTACGTAAGGTTTTCAACTATCAACAACAACAACAATCTTATTTCAATAAGCATGATCGGTTGTATGAATCCTAGAATGTTATGGGCTCGGTTTTGCTTTAATTCTTCTATTAGCTCTAAATACTCCATGTCTTTACATAATTTAAAATCTTCTTAAGTCTTCCTCTACACCTTGTGCTCTAAGTCTTTGTCACATAGTCACATTTTTTAACCGGAGCATTTGTAGGTTTTCATTTAACATGTTCAAACCATCTTAACTGATTTTCTTTCATTTATCTATTTTAAATTTTGAAGACTTTTTATCTAAAATAGTCCTTGAAAATGTCATAACTTGTCACTTTGATCATTGACAAAAATAATCAATAAAAGTGTTAGAATACTGTAAATCATTTTGGTCATTCGGCAAAAATATGTCAATATCCTCCTCAATTTATCACGGGAAGTACGTTAAAAGGCAAACGCATCTTCGTTTCCTACGTGCTCAAGTCTCCATGGTACAATTTGTCCCAAAACATCGAAACCTCATCTCCGCATCAATTTACCGGGCATTAGATACCTGTACATTGTATCCTAGATGTAAGGGTTTGTTCATCAACGATGGAAGAGCCCTGTCGTTCTTGAAAGACCAATGTTGCCAGCTAAACTACATGGGTGGCGCAACATGCTCATTCGGGTGGTGCAGTGCAGCCATCGCATCAGGGGCAGCAACAGCATGCCTGCGTTGTCGCTCACGTAGAAATAAGACAGTAAGGAGGCAAACAAAAAGAGTCAATATCGTTGCGTTCCCTTCATCAAGTAGCACGGTATCTACCCATTCTTCAACCTTGGGATAGGCTTCAGGCAATGAATCGATTATATGTACCTGCATACGGACCCAAAAACAGAAGATCGCTAATGAATGAAGATTCCAAAAATGAAAATAATTGGAAACAAAGCTTAATTATCCAAAGCAAGCTCATTCTGGACTATTAATAGCAGAGATTAACTATTATATGAGAAGGGAGTAAGGAAAGTAAAACAAAAAGAACTTACCAGGAAACCGTCGGCATAATTTTTTCGTATCCATAAGCTTGTGAGGGCTAGCGTGACAGGCAACTTTGCTGCCGAATCAATTTCTAGGGCTTGATCATAGTAACGCTTTGCAAGATGAAGATCCAAAGGCAGCCCTTGTCCATGCTCATGCATGTAACCAAGGTTGAACATGGCTTGGGCGTTAGACTGGGACCTGGCATGCTTGTAAGCCTCTGCCGCTCGTTCATAATCCCTCTCAGTACCCTGAGAAAGGAAGAAGGAAAACCAAAATACATCCCGAATCTAGAGCAGTGACAAACATGTTTCAGCATGAGATAGCTACCTGACCATAGTAATACGCATCCCCAATCAGCAAAGCAGCGTGTTCATTACCCTGCTCAGATGCTTGCCACCATAATGAATGTGCCCGCTGATGCCTTTCTGCATTAGTGCACAAACCAGATTCTCCCATGCACATGCTTCGCTCTCCATATTTGTCAAGAATCCATGCAGCGTTACTCTGCGCTACCTCATAGCCTAACTCAGCCATCCTTGAATACAAGAAAAATGCCTTGCCTACGTCCCCTCTTAAGTATGATTCAAGTGCCCATCGAGACAACGAGCTCCACGGTCCCCTTTCTGCAACTAATTTGTATAATGCAATGGCCTAAAACAAAATGAATCATAATCATGAATCGGAATTAATTAGTGTATAAGTGCCCTGGTGCATCTTAACATCATTTACTTAGAATTAAATAGCAAAGTAAATTTTTCATTCAACAAATACAAACAAATTAATCGTCACAAAATCAAGATTATGTTGCATATCCTGTTTTCTTAAGCCCGAACAGAAAACAGAGACGGTATGTAAACTAAACAAACAGAAAAGAACAGCGAGTCTACCCGTGGAAGATTCTTCTTAAGCCCGACTCCTGTATGAAACATCTTCCCTAGCTGGTAGAATGCCTTGGGTTGACCAGCATTCGCAGCAAAGATGAAGTATTGACATGCAAGTTTAACATCTCTCTTTACCCCAATTCCTTTGAGATACATTACTCCTAGGTTATAGTGCCCGCCACCGTCTTGATTATCAGCAGCTTTCTCAAAATACTCCTTTGCCTACAACGAAAAGGATTGGCCGTAACATATGAATCAATCAACCTATCAATGTATCAGAACAAACTCAACATCGGAAAAAATGATCTCGAAAGTTATTACAACTAACAATGTGGGATTTCATTCGCAAGGATTGCTAATTGAAAATGTGTAACAAAATATAGAAAAACACAAAGCTTTAAGATACACGTAGAAATAGAGCCAAGGAGCATTCTTACTTTAGTGTAGTTCTTCTTCTCCACTCCATATCCTTTAACATACAAATACCCCATCCCGTTATATGCCGAATAGTGATCCTGTTTGGCTGCAAGTGTAAGCCACTCCAAAGCCTTGGTGTAATTCCTCTCAACTCCAGCTCCCCTAGCATAAATCTCTCCGAGGAGCTCCATCGCCCGAGGCTCTCCCTTCTCCAACGCCTTCAGAAACCACGACAACGCCTTGGCGTGGTCGCGGCGCAACCCTCTCAGCCCGAAATAGTAAAACAGGCCCACCTTATACATTGCCGCAGAGTTTCCCTTTTGAGCTTGGTACTCCAAAATCTGAAAGTCCTCGTCTTCTTCGCCGCGGCTCTTCCTCAATGCCTCCTTGTTCTCCTCCGCTCCGCTGTGGATCCTCACCGCCTCGATCGATGCTGAGTCCCTCGAAATCAGGAAGCTATTCACAGCTGCCTCGGCCAATTCCGAGTACAATTTCACCGCTTTATCAAACATCTGCAAAAATACCAAACAAAATCCAAACACAGAACAACAAAATCAATCCTTCAACTTCCTCCTCTTAACTCCGCAACCAAACAGAGATCGATCGATCAAACTCGAAAGAGATTCCGTACATCTTGCCTGAAGTAAGTATACGCGAGGGCCATCTTCGACTGCATGTTGCCGGCCTTAGCGGCGAAGTAATGGTACGTGAAAGCCTTGGCCTTGTTCTGCTTCCTCATCTGGCCCGTACCGTACAGAAACCCCAGAACGGACCGCGCGTGAGGGAGGCCGCGGGAAGCCGAGTCCTCGATCTCCGAAACGGCGGCGTCCATGAGCGCGGTGTCACCGGAGCTAACGGACTTTATTAATTTGGATACGGTGGAGTAGTATCCGTCGTCGGGGTGGGTAGCCGGGTCGGCCTTAAAGGGGTCGGGTTCGAAGATTGGGCGCCAGGATCCCGGGTCGAGCTCCTCTTCTGACTGCGCAGCGTCGGAGTCGCCAAACTCGTCCCAGTCCGGCGACTCATTTGGAGCTGAGTCGGCGGCGGGCGGCGAGTCCTCGGGCGAGGTAGGGGTGTTTAGGAGATCGTCTTGCGAGAGAACGAGGATGAAGGGACGGACGCAGAGAGAGAGGGGGAAGAGAGAGAAAATCAGGAGAGAGAAATAGAGCTTTCGAGCTGCAAAATTCATTGCTGTTGCCAAATACTCACAGAATTTTGGAGAAGATGGAGAGGAAGAAGACGATTGGGATTTTGTTAAGAGAGAAGGGTAATATTGGGACGAAATCAAAGTTTGTTTTGTATACTTGCCACGTAGCATTTTTGTCATTTAGCAAATCGCATTCTGCCACGTAAACAGAGTAGAGAAATGTTCAAGAATGATACATGGTTTAAGATGTTAAGAAGGTTGTGAAAAAAAAAAGACGAAAACTTTAACGTCAACGAATTTCCAGGGCCGGAAAAAAATATGCATTTCCATTGCCAAGAAATAAAGTTATTCACAAAATGGATAAGGGGAGTAACGTCTAAATTCTAACATAAACAGAAGGTTATTTCGCCATTTATTATTATTCATTGTAGACGAGTACTTGGCGCAACGAAAATGATGCATCAATAAATACTACACTTCACTCAACTGAAAACTCAAACAACATGGTGTGGCTGTACTTCTCACCGGGTTGAACAACAATAGACGGGAAGTTCGGTGTGTTAATTGCATTCGGGAACCCTTGTGTCTCCAGACAGAGCCCGGCATGCTTTCCATAGACAGCACCTCCTTTGCCGACAACCCTATTGACGTAATTCGCGGTGTAAAACTGCATCCCGGGGGCATTGCTCCATAGGTTAAGGACCCTCGAGCTGGATGGGTCCTTCAGCCTTGCAGCATGTTTCAGGCCTTGTTTCTCTTCCCCACAGTCGAGCACATAGTTGTGGTCATACCCTATACCGACCTCATGGATGGACTCACCGACCCTCTTCTCGGCAGTGAAATCAAAGGGCGTGCCTTTAACCGGCTTGATTTCACCCGTTGGGATTGTGTTTTCATCCACAGGGATAATATGGTTTGCCCGAATTTGAATTGCATGGTCAAGTATGTTGCCCGAGTTATGTCCAGCTAAGTTCCAGTATGTGTGCTGAGCTAGGCTGACCGGGGTGGGCTTGTTCTCAGGCACTGCTTCCATGTCAAGTCTCATTGTCGTGCTTGAAGTAAGCGTATAAGTTGCAGTCAGCGAAAGATTCCCGGGGTAACCTTCCTCCCCGTCATGACTCTGATACTTAAAAGTGATGGACGGGTTATCACCCTTTTTATGTTCTGCTACCTTCCATATCTGCTTATCGTACCCCTTGTGACCACCTAATGCGACAGCAGGATGAATTGAGTGGCGTAAATATAAGCAAGCACAAGGAAAATAAAACACAAACAATTACTGATACCATTACTCAAATGAAAAGAATGTCTGCTTTGGTGAAAATCGAAGCCATTAGGCTTGAGACAATATTCAAAATTCGTTCATGTCTCGATAAAGAATTAACGAAGAAGCCTTGGAAGGAACCGAACGCACGCTTATTTGTTTATTACAACGTAATTCAAACATCATAAAATTCTGCTGCAAATTAGCTAATCGAAAAGCAGTAAAAACGAGAATCAATGGTAACAATTCCGTACCATGGAGACTGTTCGGAGGTCCGTTGATAGGCAAGGAGTACTCCGTTCCATTGAGCGTAAACTTCCCATCTTTGATTCGATTAGCAACCCGACCCACAATGCAGCCAAAGTAGGGAGCAAGTCCGTTCTGATCACGCATGCATCCACATTCAAGGACGAAACAAAAACATTAAAACAAAGGGTTAAAACGATCATACGAAAAGCTCAGCATTCCCATTCCTAAAGCAAAACTCCAACATTTAATCCCAAAAACAACAAACGATAACAACCAAGCGCTAAGTGGGGTCGGCAGTATAAATCATGTAACATAACTGCGCTCGGTTTTGCGCCAAATACAGCTTATGAATGCATTAGATCAACACACAAAGAACCAATTTTTGCATGATATCTCAAACAACATGATCGAAAAGCAAAAGGGTTCTCAGAAAAAGTGTGAGAAATTTACCACATAGGGATCCACGGAGTCGAATCCAAGAACAACATCAGCCAATTTTCCTGCAAAGTTCACCAACCAACAATCCAAACAAACATCAGCAGCATTTTTCAGATCAAAAAGACAAAACAAAACAGAAAGCATTATTCGATTAATCAATTAACTGAGAATCCAAACGGGAGATTATCTGATTGGGAAGCAGAAAAGAAATCTGCTTGGGTTGAAAGATACCGTCTTTTCCGGGAACAGACAAGGAAGTGATAGTGCAGCCAAAGTTTGTGATGAGGGCGCGCATGCTCCCATTGTTGAGCTCAAAGATTTCTGGTTTCTGGTTCGCATCCGCCATTATTGTCGTTGTTGATGTTCTTCTGATCGGAGGGGAGAGAGAGAGAGAGAGTGAAGTTATTGGACTCTGATGCGTGTTCCAAGTGTTTGTACGGGTTTTTGAGTTGTTGGGGGTGACGTATTGTGTTTCAGATATGTTGGCGGCTTGGTTTTACTTTGAATGTGTACTTACCGGTCCTCCCTCAGTCTCAATCCAAGTCACGCGCCACACACGTGAAGGTTACAAATTGAAGATTCTTTTTTTTTTTTTTGATAACGGGGCATAAACCCGGAAGAAAATGAAAGAATACATAAAATATTATGAGGTCACAAGATTGAACTATATCTACAACTAGCAACCGATGATAAGAAGGAGTTCGCTATAAAAAAACTGAATCCAAACTGCATAATAAACCCAAACGAGTTTATAACAAAATTCTTTTCATGGAAAATATGACGTATTTCACAGTACCAACTTTAGTGCACAACGGCACACCAATTTGGTACTAATATAATGAGACTACCTTGGTCGATCGAAGCCACGACAACGAAAAATTTTTATTTTTCTTATCATTGATCTAATATCAAACTCTACATTTATTGGAGTTGAATCTGTCACGTTCACGGATCCCAATTCGACTAGTGAAAACAATATTCTTTTATTATTAGGGTCCCTAATTCGATTATTCATCAGCTTAAATTGTTATGTCAACAGTTTAGCTTCATCTGTGATACTGCTCCTTCTCTATCAAGCCTTTCCTGCTGAACCAAATAGATGCATCTTCTCTGCAACCACTGCTTTCATGGCTTCCTTCGCCGACGCCATAACGTGGACCAGGTCTTTCTTCGGGTTGCTAAGGGAATCCGTGTAAGCTTTTCGCACCTCGGTGTTTACATTGAACTTCCTCACACCATGCTCTATGCATTCCTGTTCATGAAGCCAAACAGTTTACTTGGACATTAAGCTTTAAGTGGAAGTAATGCAAATGTAGCTTGGAAGCATCTCTGAGGATCTTCAGCTTGTAAACGAAAACCTAAGAACCCGAATTGTTTTAAAATCGCTATGGATAAACGTTGTACCTTTATAAGTTCCTTCGACAAACCAGAAGCGCCATGAAGCACCAGGAGGACTCCTTTCTTCGAACTCAAAGCGTACAGATCCTAACATAAGGGAAAACGAAATCAGTTACGTAGATAATGAGGTGCGTGTTGTAATGTGCAACTGACATTCGACAATCTAACATCAGTAACAGCGCAAAATCTGGTCAGAGACTATCTCAACCTTAAGCAGATCGAGTCTCAGATTCGGGCCACTTGCAGGGTATTTTCCGTGCACATTTCCAATACAGACTGCCAAAGCATCTATCCCGGTTTTATCAATGAACTCCTCAGCCTGAAATTCGTAACGCCTTCTGATGATTAGCACAAGTTTAGGAGTGAAGGAAAGCTAATTCCAAAAAGTTGCAAAGAATAAAAAATAACCTGCTTAACATCAGTCAGCCTTGCTTCATAATCTTCGACAGTTAAATCATCTTCTGTCCCCGACAATCTCCCTAGTTCCGCTTCTACTAGCACGCCTTTTGAGTGAGCAAAGAATGCGACAAACTTGGTGTATGAAACATTCTTGGTAAATGAAAGATGTGAACCATCCGCCATGACAGAATCAAATCCCTGGAAAGGTAAATACAGTTACTAACGCTCTCTATATATGGATTGCATTCTGAGTGAAAATCAAAGCAATGTGCAAAACAATGGTAAAAATTGAACGTACCAACTCAAGAGCTTCCACCAGATCTTGCTTGGAAGTTCCGTGGTCAAAGTGTACAGTTATGGGAACCTGCCATAACATATACATTATCTCGATGTCTTGATGAAAGTGGAATTTTGAAATTATTGTCGATTTTTCATATCCAACGCCATTTGTTCTATCGTGATAATGTTTACCATGTTATACCATTAAAACGCAAAACCATCATGACTGTTACAGCATGGAACTGTCACGCAGTAGCTAACTCAACCTTGACAATTGGAGCTTAAGGGCTAAATAAGAAAGCACAACGAGAGAGCCTAGTACTAGAGTCACAGACTAAAGCCGCAGAAGTGAGAAAGAGTGGATTGAAGGAAGTCTGTGTTTCCAACTTTCCATGCATACCGCTCGATACCAGATATCAGGGACTGGGATTAGGTTCAGTAATGACAGAGTTTTTCAATATTTGTAAACAATAAGATGGCAGCCTTCGATTTAAAGAAAAAGAATGAGAAGTCACAACCTGAAACACATGTTTAAGAATATGTGCCACTTACACTGGCTTGTTCTGCAGCAGCGATACAACATGCAACCAACGGGATCCCTCCTTGCTTCAAGGCACCTGGATGGACCTGATAATATATGAAAATTAGTTTTTTTTTTTTTGTTTTTTTTTAACTAAATCAACGAGATTCATCTAATGTTTATACTCTTTTAACCTGTAATATAGCCGGACTTTGTTCTTCTTCTGCTGCAGCAACAACTGCCTCTACTCCTTCCAAATTATATACATTGAATGCTCCTACAGCATATCCACCCTTCTCTGCATTCTTTACATATATATTAAATTGTCAATACGCGAGGTGAAAATATTTATGAAACTTCAATTTATGACCCATACCAGAAGAAGCTCCTTGGTTGATGAAAGTCTGAATGGACGAGCCCAGGACTTCACGACCTCCGCCAATGCTCTGTCGTCACCAACATTACCTAAGAATGAATAATTTTAATAAGTTTTTGTTGATTTATCGTTGT